AGAAAACAATACAATGTTATATCTTCAATGTTTTACTCAAATTGAAATGAAAGAAAAGCATTACAACGTTTGTTAAAAGGTAATCCTTCTGACATTGGATGAATGTAATTAACTTTAGCTCTCTAGCTAGTTTATTCACGCAATTTAAACCAAAGTATAGCCTATAGCTGCAATATAAGTTAGTGTGCATGTTGTCGGACGTCCACTGACTAACGTAGAGCGTTCACACAGGATCTGCTGGTCATATGATGTCCTGATGAACAGAAACACAAGCAGCCCGCTGGACTCAGATCTCTAGATACCTCATCACTCCTCCGCTGCTCCGATACAAGTCCGGGCTGCGGTGGTTTGTTGATACATGTCGTCTTCTTCTGTTTGCTTTAATCGAGGCTACGTAGTTATGCAGCGCCCCCCATTGTCAGTAAATGGAAGTACTACAAAGAACCCCGTTTAGTGCCGTTATTTCACAAGTTTTTTTATACGCAGCTCGGAAATAATCACCGAGGTCCGGACCTCGGTGACCTCAATGGTGGATACGGCCCTGCCTGAGACACAGTTTCGTGAATATTATTGTGTTTTGCCCCCGTGGGAGGGGGCATGGGGTTTTAACAGGTTACATTACAATATTTCTAAATTATTATGACCAACGCCGCCAAAAAGGTTTGTTGTAAAATGTTTACAGAGTATCAAGAGAAACAAAAATGCTTGTATGTGTCAGATCATACAGGACATGTGATCACAGGCACACAGGACTTATTCTGCCCTTTAACCGTGAAAAGAGCTTCTCCCCCTGACAGGGTTAGGGTTAGGGTGGGGGGGGGGGGAAATCCTCTAAAGCTTTAACAGATTCCTCATGATTGGGTATTTATCACAGTTTGTAATTAGTAGTGAAATATTAAAAGATAAAGAGAAAATCTAAGTAAAACAGGCCACTATGCACCCATGAAAATGAAGATATGAAAGGATAAGGAAGGCATCAAGACAAAACTAGTAATTCAAACCAACAAATGACTACCGAGAGTGGGGGACACTGGGAGGGAAACCCACACCAGTTCAGCAATGTTATGTAATGCTATTATCATATCACACAGCATAATAAGTCAAGGTAGACAGAATGTGCTTATCAGGAAGTGAAGATTTTAACAAACACTGATGATCAAAAAATGTGTGTAAGACGTGCACAAAAACAAATTTGGTAGATTGTTTTGCATCATTAATTTGAAAATAATGTTTTGAAACCATTTCATTCTATTTAGCTTTTGCTTTTATCGAAAGCCACTTAAAAGGACCTCTACACTGTTGGCCATGGCTACGGGGACATTGTGGGTTCAGTGTCTTGCCTAAGGACACTTGTTAGGGGGGTTAGGCAAGGGTTAGGGACTGGGATCTACTGACTCTGATGGTTGACAATCATTTCTCCCCAGGGACAATATCCGTGTCATAGGTCTTTAAGAAGGTACGGAAGGGAGACAGGCGTACAAGCTTTTCGAAACGTAGCTTCCCGACACACTGGGTCTGGATACCAAGCGGGGAGTTATTAAGATTGACAGGGTGCACAGGGCTCTGGACCGCCGAAGGAAAATTACCAAAGACCCGTTATCATTAAACTGCACGACTTCGGTGACAAACAACGGATCCTTGCAGCGGCTAAGGAGAAAGGCGACTACCTCCACTACCAAGGAAACAAGGTCTACATTCGCTAGGATCTATCGGCACATGTGAGGGAGGCCAGACGGCAGTTTAACGGGGCGTGCGGACAGCTTATCCAGAGAGGAATACGCTTCCAGATACGCTACCCGGACAGCCTATGCTTCGCTTTCAACGAAGAGGAGCGCACCTTCTAAACTCCCAGGGAGGCGAATTACTTTTTGAGCAAAAATGGACCTAACTGAGTGGTAATTCCTTTACTACCAGAGTGATCTGGATCTCTCTTTGCTCTGAGCAGGATTACCACTGAACTCAGGTATTATTATTTGACATGCAATGGTTCCTAAGTGTTGAAATAACATGTTAACCACCTTGCTCTACCCATCATAGTCATGTTGTTACGTTAGCCCTATTTTACTTTAAACGGGATGTTTGATCTTGTGGAGTAAATCGGCCCGGGGCGGGAGGGTGTAGGGAATGATCGTCAGCAGCGGGATGACGGCGGCTGGTAGGATATTCTCACTGGTGGAGAGTTGCCTCTTGGCTTCACTTGTCAACTGAAAATTTGCCATCTGTTTTTATTTTTAAGGGGTTCTGTTTTATGTTGAGACTTGGTTCATCGTTTGGGGATGGACCTTCACTTGCCGTGTTATTTCTCGTTTTGACGTGTTTACGTTATGCTTTGGTCCTTAAGTATTTGATTACTAATGTTTTATTTTTCTGTGTTATGCCAAAAACCACCTGTCATTTACATATTACTGATAATCCATCATAACATTTATGTCAATAAACGTAGTTTTCATATAGAGTGTAACCCAGCTTCCTGTTTTGGGCATGCTGGCTGCGCATCCCTCTCATTCACCAATGGTAATGTTTAGATGGATTTAGGAACTCCCCCTCGATTCTATTGGCTCTAACGGTTCAAAAGAGGTGTCAATCACCAAAATCGACCAATGGGTTCCAGAGATATGGCAAATACACCCAAATGACCCCAGAGGTGGGTTATTTTTTCTAAACCTCTCTAAAAAGGTCAAGTTTCACTTGTTTTGTATCAATCTTGATACAGGGTACTTATTATATGTTATAGTTTGGATTCCCAAAGCTTTTTGTCTACTATCCCATCATTCAAGGGTGGTTTTCACTATAAAGTAATGGGTTTTATTTTGGAAGGAAACTATAATTTAATTTGTTTTACTATGTTCAATCTGAATTTACTTTAAAATAAAACATCTATATTGATTCTGACTTTTCTACATCCAACTCACAGGTGTATCATTGCTTTGAGAAAAAAGATTATTAATTTACCCCTTTTAGAAGTGAAGATATAGTCATTTGTTCTGGGCATGTCATTTTCGAGCCTGAGACCTGAAAAACAGGCTTGGGGTTTAACAGGTTAACCTCCCTTGCAATGACGCAGAGAAGTTCATCTTGGAGTGCCAAAATTCCAAGCATTTTATCTCGTCATTTTATTCACTCCTTGGTTCTACTGGCACATACGAACTGCCGAATATTTCCCGTAAATGGGAGAAAGATTTGGGTACTGACTATATTGCAGATGATTGGCAGGCATCTATAAACTTAATCAGAACCACGTTTATATGTAACAGACATTGGGAAACCCAGTATAAGATTCTTCACAGGCTGCATACTCCTGTCACATTGCATAAAATAGACCATTCCATTTCCCCTTTATGTGTTAAATGCCATTCTGACAGGGGGACATATTTCCACTGCTTTTGGGAATGTAAATTAATATCTAGATTCTGGACATTTATTTCCAGGGAAATAAGTGCGATATTTAAAAAGAAAATTAAGAAGGACCCTGGTGTTTTCCTTCTTGGCCTTCCCTCTAGAGAACTGACTCTCCCTGCATCACATTACAAACTTCTTGAAAACTCCTTGTAATTGCTCGGAAGTGTATTTTGCACAGATGGATAAAAGACACCCCTCCTAATGTTACCCTTTGGTATAGGGAGATTGGTAACACTCTCCCCCATGAGAGACTGCATGCTACCTCAAGGGGCAATGACGGGCTGTTTATGAGGGTCTGGTCACCTTTTCTGGATTATTTGCCCACTGACCTGAAAGCCTTACTTCTCCGGGGGGGGGGGTTCTGATTGGAAAGCTAAGTAACATCAACTATGGATGACGCTTGAGGCTTCTGTTGACTGATTACCCTGAACTCACATATTGCGGACTGAAAATAATATTCCTCATAGTTTTGTATCTATTGATTAATAATATTTTAACACATATTTTATTTATCCTTTGTGGTCCATCTATATTATTGTGATTAGGTAAATGAGGATTATTATTATTATTCAATTGTTGTCAAATTGTGGGGGGGGGGGGTGTTATGCATTGTTTTGTATGTTGTGTTAAATGTGTGAAACTCAATAAAGAGTATTTTTTTTAAAAGAAGAAGAAAAGTCAACTGTTTAATGGTGTGTTCACACTGAACAAGAAGAAACGTTTTATTTCTTGCAAAGTCCTTTCGAAGAGTTAAATAAACAGGTTTGACAGGGACACGTGAATTCCACATCATTTTTAAACTCTCTACCGACTTTACTGACATCCTAACGATGTGGAATTAGAAATGACAAAAAATAATTGATCCAAATTGAATTTATAATACAAGCATTCAAGCATCAGGCGCGTTCACACCGGAGTACTTTTACCCCGTACTTTTCCCGTTTAGTTCCGTTAGTACCCCTGATGTCGCGTTCACACCAAAAAGAGTACTTAGTGCCGGGAACTTTTACCCCCATTTTTAGTGCCTGCTAGAGAGGTGGTACCAAAAAAGTACCAAATAAGTACCAATTTCTATTGGCTGGGCGAATTGCAAACCACGCCCCGTAAAACTGTGAAGCCGCCATTTTATTATCCTCGCATTAGCATTATTAGCATTAGCATTAGCCCAGCGCAGAAACGCAGAGAGACTAACTTATGGCAACACAAAAGAAAACATGGGAGCGGTGGAGATGAGGTGGTGTCGGCGTTCTGGCGATTTACTCGGAATGCTTCAGTAGAAGCTGCTGGGAGTTCCAGCAGCTTCTACTGAAGCCAGTCCCCAACTCCGGGGACTTCGGGTGGCAGTATACGCCGTGAAGTTGTTTGCTGCCTGCCAGTAAACCCAAAGCAGAAGAAGACCAGGTGACGTCAGCTGCTCATTTGCGTAATCTTCCCTCAGGGAAAAGTACTCCGGTGTGAACGCGATTGGTACTTAGTGCCCTGGGGTAATAAGTGCCGGCACTAAGTACGGCAAAGTACTTGGTGTGAAAGCGGCTATTATTACAGTTATTTGACAAAGAATGAATTCAGACTTTTTACAAACTGGCTTCACAGCTACTTACCAAAGACAGGAGCTGCTCCTCAGCGTGAAGTAGAATAGATTTCAGGCACCAATAACAAATAGTTTAAAAAAGGGAGGGAGATGGAGTTGGAGTATTGGTTTGGGCTTGATGATTGGTGAGTTGAAGGTTTGATTAACAATTTCTTATATGTTATTGAGAGATGGCGTCTTCGTCATGGGTGGGATTTAAGTCCACTACAGTCGTCCCTCGAATGGATACTCCTCCCATCCCTTCAGTTGATGATGAAGGTTGGGAGTTTTTACCATCACCTCCACCTAGGAGACAACCAGGTGGAGGCAAATTATTAGAAACAGATGAAAAAAGAAAAATAATTCACATCTATTTCCCTCCTTTCCCACCGCTTACCCTGCCCTGCAGAGGAGAAGAATGGAGGAACAGTGAGTGTGTTAGCTCCCCCACCGTTGGTCTGGGAGCAGACGTTGGCATGTCGTGCTGTTGCTTTCTGTTTGTAGTGGTTACTGTGCAGCTTGTACTTCATTAGGAGGATGAAGATGAAGACAAGGACAGAGGCCACGATGATGCCTCCAATGATTATAATCATGGTACCGCCAAGGAACTGAAGAAAGATAAAGACATAAGGACAGTAAGCCTGGTTTGCATTTATGATTTTTAAAGCGCTACTTTTTGCTTTGTGGTTCACTGAGTCCGACCAAGTGAGATGATTCAGGGTTACATTAAAAATGGATCACATGACTTGAGGGATTCATATCTGCTTTCAAACTCCTGAATTAGACCTCTCAATACACCAACCTTGTCCCTGTCAGAATCAGCATTTGAAACAGTCTCTTTCCTGTACTTGCCTTCACTGTCAAGCAGAAGTGTCAGCTGTCCGATAGCTACCATGAGCTCATCCTTGCATTCACCAATAGTCAAATTATCTTGCTGGAACTTGAGGGAGGTGAACTGTAAAATGTTTCCAGTGTCAAGCATGTTGGCTAGGAAACACTTAAAACGCTCTGTGCAGACATGTTTTAGGTCACTGTCATCACTTGTAGCCACTTGAGATTGAATGGCAGGTAATAGCCTCCATATTTTCAAAAGAGTCTCTTGTCTCCATGCACACCATCTAATGTTGTGAAACTTTCCTAGTTTTACAAAGGCAATGCCATTCTCATCACATATCATCTTAAGTTATTCTGTTCTTTTGGTGCCCCCTTTCTGTAAATAAAAGCGTAGCAGCTTGACAACGGAGCTATTAAATGTCTCACAGTATGGAACCATGCGATCAGCTGACTTGGCACAGTTCTCGAGGGTGTGGGCGGTACACAGAATATGCACAAGGGAATCCCCAATCGCCACCAGTTTACGCAGTTTGGGGACGACCCCGTTGTAAACTCCGACGTTCACTGCAGCCCCGTCTGTGCATACAGAAACCAACTTCGTCTTCCACTCATCTCCTAAGCCACAAGCATGGAAGAGTTGCTCCATCCCGTCTGTTATGTCCTGTGCCGTTCGTTTCACACCCAAATTAATTAACCCAATGAAATCTGAGCTCAACTCTCCCTTGCTACCCACAGACACAATGTACACAATTTCCTACTCCACTTTTGTTATGTCTTCTGATCCATCAAAAAGCACACCCCAACATTCAGCTGCCTTCAATTTTTCATACAACTCTGAACTGATAACTGATAACACCTGTGCGATGGTCTCCATGATGCGGGATCCCCCTTCTCTCGAATGATAAGCAGTCCCAACATTAACTTTAAGCCTCTTGAGAAGCGCAAAGTCCTCCTCATATGAACGCATAGGACGTGCATGTTTGGCTTTGTGGTTTTTCTTACCAGTTCATATGCAACTCGCAAATATCTTTCTCTCTCCTCTCTTTTCTCTTCTCTCTTCTCTCTTTTCTCTTCTCCCTTCTCTCTCTTCTCTCTCTCCCTCTCTCTCTCTCAATGTTGGTGCGCAAAAGCGCCTTTTTACAAATGACCCGGTGCTCTTTTTTTGGCGGGGGTGCGCATGCGCACCTGCGCACCAGTTATGTGCAGCCCTGGATATAACATAACAGCAAGGGGACTAGTTTGCAGGCATGGATATAAGTAGTAGCTCGATACTTAATGGAACTTGAAAAGAAATTGTTTTGTCAACCAGCTGATTACAAATATTTGTTTTTATATAGCAATTATTGAATAATTGAGAATAACATCAAATATGCTTGCAATCTATAAGTTCACAACCCTTCAACAGCTTCAATTTTGCTGTTAACTTGTCCCATAACATTATGGTTTGAATAATGTTGACCATGCACAATAAGGTGTAAGGATTTTATTCAAAAAAATGCTGTCATGATACAGCGAAGGTTAAATTCATATTAACCGATGGATGCAAAAAAATTCATTAACTATAAAAATACGGACTTGTACATGCTATTATTTTTCGACATAATACTTCCTGAGTGTAAATGTCATTTAAATGTAATCCTCAATTACAGTCTGTATTCTTGCAGACAGCATGAAGAGAAGTAAGGGTTTTTGAACATTACAGCATGTAAACATATTCTAGTGGAACCAAAAGATACCAACATATTACCCTAAATATTACTTTCCTCTTTGTTAAAGCGTATAGTAAGGACTGGCTTAGGTTTGTCTTGAAATAAGCCTCTACTCATGCTGCTATAGGCTTATATCAACAATCTCCTCTCTCTACTCCCTCTCTTACTGTGTGCATTTGGATCTTTAACTGCATGCATTCATCTCCCAATAACTAACTCGCCATTCTAATAATACCGGAAGGGAGGGACCGCTGGCAAGTTGCTGCCGCGCCTCCTCCGTTGTCTGTCGATTGTTTCGTGTTGTTTCATCTCGATCTGTTGAATGTTGTCTTTTGCAACTGGACTCCAAACCCGTCTGTTACAAACCCGTCTGTCCCATCTAACACTGACGATTAATTTAGCCGTACACGGCTCACCGTACTGGACTACTTGGGCCCCTTTGTGCTGTGCTCTCTTAAACCGGATAGCCCGATCTGGTGCGCCCTGCAAAGCACACCTGTTTGGATCTGTCCGCTGCCATTCTGCCAGCTCTCCTGGGTGCACATCTCCACCTGTGGATTGCTGCCAACACGGAGGCCGCCCCACACAGGTTAGCCACTACCGGCTAACCTGTCACTCGTCCCCAGCGCCGTACGTCTGGTTGCTCCGCCTCGAGAGAAAACCTGCGGCTACAACCAACACCACGACTACTCCTCCGCCTCAGCAGTGCAGGTTTTGTCGCTTCACTTTATCCATTTGGATCATCAAACCGCTGGATTACATTGTTTTTTAACTCTCATCATGTGGATTTTTAAACTGCTCATATGGTGTGCCCTGTGTCTCACGGTCACGAGTGCGTCTCTACCGCTGCGCTATTCTGCAACGGAGCTGCTACGTCTGCGGTCTGACCCCTCCAGCTCTGCTTGTCCAACACTCTAGTATTCTAGACGACCAAGATACACTCACTGTGGATCTGTACTTTGAGTACACAAAACACAACAATAACAAAATAATCCGCTCTTTCTGGTCCACTGAGCCACGCCCCCCTCGCACTACCCGTGCTGTCAATCACAGTGTGTTATCCCCCCTGTCTAAAGCATCCACATACGCACAACGTACCTATCTGAAACATATGTCTGTTTAACATAAGATCCCTCACCAATAAGGCCCTGCTGGTTTCTGACTTCATTATGGACAAAAAGCTTGATTGTTTTATGCCTCACTGAGACCTGTCTGATGACTTCTCCCAGCTTAATGCAGCTGTCCCTCCGGGTTACGCTTTTATTAGTAAACCCCGTGCCATTGGGAGGGGGGGGGGCTTGCTGTGTTGCACCGTGAAAACATTAAAGTCATTGCTGTCACTATCCCCCCATCACTCCTCTTTTGAATGCTTAGCTGTAAAACTCACTGGCCCCAAACCCATCATCATTATTTCCATCTACAGACCACCGAAGCCCTCTGCTGTTTTTCTCACTGAATTTTCATCACTACTAACATCTGTATGTGCAATGTCCCCTACTGTTATCCTCTTAGGCATCTTTAACCTGTTAAGCCCTGAGCCTGTTTCTCAGGTCTCAGGCTCGAAAATGACATTCCCAGAACAAATGACCATATCTTTCCTTCTAAAAGGGTTAAATTAATAATCTTTTTTCTCAAAGTATTGATAAACCTGTGAGTTGGATGTAGAAAAGTCAGAATCAATATAGATGTTTTTTATTTTAAAGAAAATTCAGATTGAACATAGTAAAAAACTGTAAATTATAGTGTCCGTCCAAAAATTATGTTTTACTTATAGTGAAAACCAGTGGCGTAGTGGGGATTTTTTTACTGGGGGGACGCTATTTTAATTAGGTCATCCCAAACAATGCCACACAAGTGCGTACGCGCGCAGTGCACTCACAAAACGGGCAGACAGGTCCACAGAAACTACCGGTATGCTTAGTCCTACTTTAGTTACTGTACTGCAAAAAGTAGACGGCGCTGCGCTCAACACACACATGGACTCAAAACCATGGACACACCGGCACATAAGTTACATAAACAATTTATAGGCCTAAGTTGCATAAGCTACAGTATTGCAACTAAGCAGACATCGCTGCTTCTCTCTCTCTCTCTATCTCCACTTTCAAAATCTATTTAAAACTCATAACAAACAAACAAAATTCCCAAAGTTGTCCTGAAATTAACTTATTAAATAAATGAAATGAAAAATATAGCCTACTTATGCAAACAACATTGAATCTGGACTTGCAATTATTCTGATTAGGCCTAGCCTATATTGCAAATAAGCAGACAGCGCTGCTTTTCACACACACACACTAGCATTATCCACATCTTTAGGCAGCTCTTCTGATGATGTAGTGCTAGTTGCAGCTTCACTTGTAGCTTCGGTGCTGCTAGCCTCTTTCTTCTTGTGAATTATATTCTTTTTAGAAAAGAAGTCAAGTAAAAAAATGTTTGCCTGCCATTATAGAGCTTTTTCGTTAGCGTTCTTGAGGGAAAGAGCTGCCGCAAAATCGCCGTGGGTGTGTCACTGACACACCCCCAGCTCGCCGCGGGGTCACGAGCGTGATGACGAATCATAATTTTTTAAGGAAATCGTTTTTATTTTTTATTATAATTACTGTGATATGTACTATGTTTTTGTCATTATTACAAATACACACTTGCAACTGATAACACTGGCAATGATTTTATATTTATTAGACTATTAAAAAAAAGATCATGCTCCAAATAAGTGGGGGTACGGCGTACCCCCGCGTCCAACGCCCACTACACCATGCTGTCATTGAAAACGACCCTTGGATGATGGTAAGGTAGACTAAAAGCTTTAGGAATCCAAAGTACAACATATAATAAGTACCCTGTATCAAGATTGATGCAAAACAAGTGACATTTGACCTTTTTAGAGAGGTTTAGCAAAAAAAACTCCACCTCTGAGGTGATTTGGGTGGAAATGGGGGTTTTACCGTTTCTCTGGAACCCATTGGTCGATTTTGGTGATTGACATCTCTTTCTGACCGTTAGAGCCAATAGAATCACACACACATGGAAAAAAGGTGGGGGCTTCGCGCATGCAGTTTTGC